TTACATTTATCTTTTTTTTTAAATACAAATTTGATTTGATGAAAAGGTTAACGATATCCGATTGACGTGATTTTTGACAGGTATATTCTACTCGATATCTTTTAAAATGTGAACGGTTCAAATTATTGAATTAGGCCCTAAAATGGGCCCAATAAGACGTGCAACAGTTGCTACTGCGCATCTTGTGTAGCAACAACTCCAAACTCGTTCAGACTGAGAAATTATTTTATCTTTGAGGAATTTCATGTTAATTGTATGTCTAACTAATAATAAAGGATTAAATGAATATATAACCCCAATAACAAGGGAATGTTAGGCAAATTATAACATTTTTTTAGTTTGAAACATAAACACGTGGTCTTTCCGACCTGTTAAATAATTTCTGACGGACTCGGAGACAATCTTTGCCTAAACTGTACTGCTACATACGAGTTTTCAAAATAATGACTTTCGCAACGAAATAAAATGCTGTAAATGCATTTTCTATGTAACCTGTTTTAATAAATAAAATACCACATTGACGTCACATGTTGTTTATCATTACAAAAAGTTTGCATGTGATACATCTATTATCATCCCTACGTGGACAAATCTTGTCCACCCTGAATGGGGTCGGACTGTTTTCTTCTCCTTTTTATTTTTTTTTTCCTTTATTTATTTATTTTTATGTAAGGTATCCTATCGCGCACTGAACTAAATCTTAGGGTCTGAACAAATATTCCAAAACAGATTTATTTCTTATAGTATGTGATCTCAAAAAAAATGTTTGGAACTTTTAAAGTTGGAGATGTTCATAACTTTTAAAATGATATGGACCAATCATATATTTTTATTTTTGTTTTTGTTTTTTTTCTTTCCTTGAATTAATCACAAGTGAAAATTATAAGAATTGTTTTTAACGATACGTAGTATCGATAATATTTTATTGACTATGAGAATCAAACATGAGACCTTGCACTACATGTTATTCTAATTTGGACTCCATCAGTTAGCAGACATAATATAGTTATTCCAAGTCCAATTCTAAAATGATTTTTAAATCTCAAACATGTCCACGCAACCTAATATATTTGAATTATTAATTTCTTATTTTTTACTTTTTATTTTGTCTTGAAAGGATATTATATTATTTAAATATAAAACATTAACAAAATTTGATGGTAAAATAAATACGGAATTTCAACAAATATTTTAATTTACGCTTTAGAATAAACTATATATTTTTGTCATTATAAACTTTCTACTTTATTTTGTAACTAAAATACTATAAATTATAATTAATACTACATCAATTTTAAATCATTTATTTGGCACAGAACATAATAACTTAAAAATTATGTATTTTTATATATATGCTTGAATTTTTTTGTTTGGGTTTATTATTTATTTTTTACTGCAAGTGTTCCAAGAATATGGGTTCCTGTTTTGTTATTTTGTGTGTACCATTATTACTTACACTTTTATTTTCTTCATTAAAAAGCAAAAGAAAAAAATTATGTTAATAGATTTCTTGGAGAAAAAAATTGACTATTATTTTCCTTCGTTTATATTTTTGGCAGGTTGCTTTATAACTTTGGGTTATTCAGAATAAACTTTTCAGATTTTTCTCTATCGACACCTATTTGCTCTGACTGTATGTTGAGTTTGTAATGCTTGAAACTTGAATAATTCTAAAAAAAATTTATTGCATGAATTTGTAATGCTTGAAACTTGAATAATTCTAAAAAAATTCTATTGCATGAATTTGTAATGCTTGAGTTTGTAATGCTTCAAATATATAATTTCTTTTTCTATGCTTCAAAAAATCAAATATGTAATTTTTTTATTCAATCTTTATTTTTATTTTTATTTATATGTAATTTTTTTATATTTATTTATATGAATTTTTGTTGTATAATTTTTTAGTTAAAATTCATGAAAGTTTGGCCAAATCTCATGAAATTTGGAAAAATCCATGGGTGGCCAAAATTCAAAAAAAGTTGTAGGTGTCTAATCTTTTTTATTGTAACTTTTCTAAAAAACCCTTTGTTTATTCATATGTTTGTTTTGAAGTGTATTTTTTTGATAAGAAAGAATTCAGTGGCCCCAAAATTTCATATGATTTTTTTTATATTTATTACATAATGAGTTTGTGATTGTCAGAACAAATAACTTCTACAATCGTGTTTTATTAATACTTATCTTCTACTTCTCTTTTGACTGTAAGCATTTTTAATTCTATTTTTTATTTTTTTTATATTTAATCGAATGTTTGAAAAATTTATATTCAGTTTGTTTTTAAATCATATCTCAAGTTGCACACGCTTTGGCTCATCATTACTAGGTAATCTCTTTCACTTGCAATTTTATTTAATTCTCTACAAAATGAGATTAGTACTTAAAATAATATGCATTATAAAAATATAAAAACAAGCATATGAAAACACTTACATAAAAATATAGAGCTTATTATATTGTGAGCATACGAGTCGCATTGTGAATATACTATAACTGCCTCTTACATAATTTTATATAATGTAGGCACATTTTAAAGATAGCCGGATTTTATCTATGTAAGTGTTAGTTTGCTAACAATGTTAGGAAAAATGAATCATGATTACCCTGACACATCAAATTTGAGACATGTACAACAACAAAATCGTGAACGACGTCGTTTATACCTACAACAGAGGAGGCAATGCTCAGCTTCGAAACCAAATGCTCAAACTGAACAACCACAAAGAGAATTCGATCAGTTACGCCTTCAAAACTTAAGCACTGAACAACGCTTAGCAAGATTGGAGCAACGTCGTCTTGCTCAGCGCACGCGAAGATTGTTTATTCGCGAAGAAAGTGCAACCTCTAATGTGCAACAAAGAGAAATTCAAAGGGAAAGTTGGCGTAATTATCCTAGACAAAGGAGGGCTGCTTTGACTATTGAACAACACGAACAACAACTTGCAAGGCGACGAACAAATTATCGACAAAGAAGGCAAATATCTGAAAATCTCGAATAAACTTCTCATCTAAATCAAGTACATAATATGACGAATGTACAAACAAGTAGTAAGTATTCAAATGTTATAAACATTATTTTTTTTTTTGTAAGCTTTTACACTTTTGACATTAATATTCATTTAATTTATTATTTATAATTTTAACTGTTAGGATGCATGTTAAACTTTTTCGATGCAATCCCAAGAAGAAATAGAACAGAATGGCGTAGGCCGCGAGCAACAGTTTTGCCAACCATTCACGAAGAAGGAAATTTGGTTGCGACTAATGTTTTTAGACGGGAAAGTAGAATGACTGCACTCGCACGTGTCGACTTGCCCCGATATGCACCTACTCATTCGACATATGAGCATGGAAGCACAAGTGGCAACAGACAAGATCTTCGCAAAGTTCAGATGGAAGGTACAAATAATTTATTTAGTTTAAGTACTTTTACAAAATAAACAACCTTTACAATAAATGTAAAAAATATGATCATGCAAATATGATATGCAATACAATTACATTTAATATTGAACATGAAACTCAAACACTTTCAAATAAATACTATTGTGTTAATAATAAACCCATACATCATACATGTATTGTTATAGGAAATATCCCTCATGTCGACCACAATCAGGATGCTTTGAGTGATGAAGATATTCCAGATAATCGATCATTTATCCATAGGAGATATCATAATTGTGCAAGAAATTTTCATGAAAGTGAAAGGTTCCAAAGAATGTAGTTCCCTGCTCCAACTACATGTAGACATTGCAAAGCAAGATTGTTCCACCGTGAAACATCTACCATGTGTTGTAATAATAGAACAATTATTTTGCCACCAGTAACAGCTCCAAATGAGATGATTGATATTTTCTCTAACCGAACAGTGGAAGGTCGTCATTTTAGATAAAATATTCGAGCCTACAATCATGTTTTCTCATTCACTTCAATGGGTGTTCATGTTGATGAAAACTTAGCAACAAGAACTCGAGGTGTGTACACGTTTCGTGCACAAGGAGCCATATATCATAAGATTGAGAGTCTCTTATCAAATTCTAGCGACAGACCGAGATATTTGCAACTGTATGTTTATGACACTGACCACAAGAATGAGAATCGAATGTCTGAAAATGAAGAATTGCACTTGGATTTGCTTGATAAAAGAAAGAATATTTTAAATACTCATAATCCATTTATACACACATTTCTCCAATTGGCTCAGCATCCAGACATACATGAATGCAGACTTCAAATCAAAGAGCAACCACGTAATAGGCCCCAATACAACCTTCCTACTGCTCTTGAAGTTGCTGCAGTTTTAGTATGTGGCGAAGAAGCTGGAAATTTAAAACCAAGAGATATCATTGTCCAATCAACCAGTGGTCACCTCCTAAATATTTTTGATATTGTCGGATACTATGATCCATTACAGTATCCTCTGTTGTTACCCTACGGTTCATATGGATGGGATGCAAATACCAGAAGTAATGATGGCAAAAAAGTAACATGTTGTGATTTCTATTCTTATATGCTACAAGTAACGACGTATACATAATATTAAAAAATTACTTCGTCGAAGTTATTCAATCTATAATTATTTCGTATAAAATCTTTACTTTTAATTATTTATAAGTATTGAAATACTATCAATTCAGATTCGCCCTGGTGATCAATCTCTTTTTCTTCGAGGAGGTCGTCTCTTACAGTAGTATGTTGTAGATAATCACATGAAGATTGAGTCCAACAAATTAAGATGGATACGTACTCATCAGAATCACATTCGAGTAGATTTTTATCAAGGTCTTCTAGATGCAGTACATGCTGGTGAAAATTATAGAGGTACAAATTGTCACGTACGATATTACAATTACATGTATGCATGTTTGTTTATATTCATACATACAATTTCTTTTTTCCTTTTGTGAAATATTTGTTTAGGTAATGTTGGTCGTAAAACAATATTGCCATCGTCATTTGTTGGTAGCCCACGAGACATGTAACAGCGATATTAAGATGCAATGGCTCTGGTCCAAAAGTATGGAAAACCTGATCTTTTCCTTACGATGACCTGCAATCCAAAGTGGCCTAAAATTAAAGCTGAGTTGCTACTTGGACAGTCACCACATGATCGTCCTGATTTACTAACAAGAATATTTCATTCAAAATTTGATGAGATGAAGACCGACATTCTTACAAAGCATGTACTCAGGAAGGTTCTGGCATACGCATATGTTATTGAGTACCAAAAAAGAGGCTTACCACATGCCCACATGGTCATTATTTTGGATGAAAATGATAAGATACGCACTCTTGATGATTATGATAACATTGTCAGAGCTGAAATTTCAAACAAGAGATTAGAGCCTAGATTATACAGTGTAGTTCTGAAACACATGATACATGGCCCATGTGGAATGTACAATGAACGGTCCCCGTGTATGACAAATGGTCGGTGCAAAAGACGTTTCTCAAAGCCATTTTCTTCAATTACTACACTTGGAAACGATTCATATCCTCTTTATCGAAGAAGAGAAGGGGAGTCAGTTCCTTTATAGAGTAATCCAAGCGTCTTGGTGGATAATAGTTGGGTCATTCCATACAAGCCATGGTTGCTCTTGAAATATGATTGTCATATCAATCTTGAAATTTGTAGTAGTGTTACAAGTGTGAAGTATTTATACAAATATGTTTATAAAGGGCCTGACCGTGTTGCACTAGAAGTTCGTCAAGGTCCTAATTATGACGAAGTAGAATAGTTCATAGATGGAAGATGGGTTTGTGCTCCAGAAGCATTGTGGAAAATATTCAAATTCCCAATGACCAAAATGACTCCTAGCATAGAACGCCTCCAAATACACTTACCAAATAAGCAGCAAGTGAGGTTTTATACGTTCCAAGACATCACAAATGTTTTAGGCGATGAGTATTATTCCAGAACAATGCTTACCCAATTCTTTCAATTAAATGTTGATGATGAAACTGCAAATCGATACTTATATCGAGAGATATCGCAACACTATAGATGGTGCAATAGCGCAAAGATTTGGTAGTTGAGATTGAACCATCAAAGAGTAATTGGTAGAATTTACATAGTTTCGCCATCAGAAGGGGAGAGATTTTACTTGAGAATTTTACTCAATCATATCCGAGGACCAAAAGCATTCGATCATTTGTTAATGGTTAATGGAATTGCGTACCCAACTTTTAAACAAGCAGCTGAACATCATGGTTTGTTAGAGCATGATGATAGCATACGACAATGTTTGTTAGAAGCTGTAACCATGCACATGCCATCAGCTTTAAGAAGATTGTTCGTTACAATTTTGGTTTACTGTGTGCCAATAGGGGTGCGAAGTTTGTGGGATGAAATTTATCCTTACTTGATAGAAGATTACATATCTTCAAACAGTATGAATAATATGTATATCCTTAACAAAACTCTACAAGATATAAACCGTCTCCTGCTACAGCATAATAAGAACATATCAGAATACGATTTGCCTGAGATGACAATGAATTTGGATGATAATTCAACAGTTCCAAAGGTCATACAAGATGAGTTTTCCATTGTAACTCCTCGAGAAGACTTAAATTCTATTGCCACATTAAATAGTGATCAACACTTAGCATTCAATTCAATCATGGAGGCTGTGGAATGCAATACTGGTGCAATTTTCTTTGTGGATGGCCCAGGAGGAACTGGAAAGACATATTTATATCATGCACTATTGGCCTCAGTGAGAAGTCAAGGGAGAATTGCCATTGCAATAGTAACTTTTGGAATTGCAGCTACACTTTTACTTGGTGGAAGGACAGCCCATTCAAGATTCAAGATCCCCTTAAATCCAAAGGCTTCGTCCGTGTGTTCCATTACTAAACAATCAGATTTGGCAGAACTGATTAGACGTGCAACAGTCATCATTTAGGATGAAGCTACAATGACAAATCGTTATGCTTTTGAAGCCTTGAATCGAACACTCATAGACATCACTGGTGTTGATTATCCATTTGGTGGCAAAATTATGGTGTTTGGTGGTGATTTTCGACAAGTACTTCCAATTGTTCCTAAAGGTACAAAAGATGAAACTATTACTGCATCGATAGTCAAATCACCTCTTTGGAGTCACATTCAAATACTTTGTTTAAACCAAAACATGCTCTCTATAAATGACCAACAATTTGGTGAATTTCTTTTATCTGTTGGAAATGGTGTACAACCTACCATTATAGATGAAATGATCAACGTACCAACATCGATGGCAATACCATGGAATGGCGAAGAATCAATAGTTTAACTATTAGAAGAAATTTATCCTGATATCATAAACCATTCTTTTGACGCCGAGTATATGGTTAGTAGGGGCATAATAACTCATCGCAATGAAGATGTTGACAAGCTCAATGAGAAAATCATTCAGAGATTTCCAAGAGAATCAAGAGTGTACCACTCATTTGATAAAGTTGAAAATGATACCCAAAATTTGTATCAACAAGAGTTTTTAAATTCCATTTCACCAGGAGGAATGCCCCCACATGCATTGCATTTGAAAGTTGGAGCCCCAATTATGCTTTTGAGGAATCTTGACCCTTCTTCTGGTTTGTGCAATGGCACAAGGCTACTGTGTCGAGCTTTGAACGATAATTTCATAGATTTAGAGATTTTAACAGGACATTTCAAAGGCACGAGAGTTTTCCTACATTGCATTCCATTAAAGGCTCCGGAAAACTTAAAACTTCCATTTGAAGTGACTCGCACACAATTTCTAGTTCGGCTTAGTTTTGCTTTGACGATAAATAAATCACAAGGTCAAACAATTCCACATGTGGGAATTTACCTTCCGGATCATGTATTTAGTCATGGACAACTATATGTTGCTTTATCTCGAGGGGTGTCAGATCAAACAACGAAAGTCTTGGTTAAAAAGGGTTTAGTTAATAATGAAGAAGGAGTGTATACCCGCAATGTAGTCTACAAAGACGTTTTGTTACCAAATTATTGATACATGAGGTATGTACTAAATATGTTCTTATTCAGCTTATATTATGTCATTTCTTAAAATCTACAATTAATATTGTGAGACCATGAAATATCCTCTCACATGGATGTTGTAGAGATCCAACGAAGAGAAGAGCTTTACCCCTGTAGATCTGTAATGAGGAATATAGTCGGTGCCACCCAATCGGGGTTGCCGACCGGGAGTACTCTGATGATGAAGTTAGTCCTTGAATCAAGAAATAGTATTTATATATATGAGAAGGGGTGTGTGTTTTGTGGAGGGAGATCAGACATACCTTCCACTTGGGATGGGATATTTATTTGGGCTGGACCCATTGTGGGCTTTGTTTGGGTTAGGCCCAATAAGCTAGTACCTATATTTTTCTGGCTCCCACAATTGTCCCAAAACTTTCATTGTCTTCAGTAGGAGGAATGAGAGTTTTTATTACCGAGTTATATTGTTCAAATAGATGCTAGGTCATTTGACAAAGAATACATTTGATAAATGAATAAAATGTATGAATGAATGACTCCATGTATGCTTGAATGTATGTATAAATATACATATGTCATGAATGTATGTGTAAATGTATATATGTCTTGAATGTATGTATAAATGTATATAAGTCTGTCATAGGATGAGGGGGGGTGAGCTAAAACAAAGAAAGGAATACAAATAAATCATAACGATAGGCCGTGGTATTTTAACCCCCGGGCATGGGTGTAGGCTGCAGTATTATAACCCCCGGGCATGGGTGTCGGCCGCGGTATTCTAACCCCTGGGCATGGGTGCCGGCCGGGGTATTCTAACCCCCGGGCATGGGTGTAGGCCTTTGCTAACGGCTCTCTGTGCCGAGTGCGAAGATTGCGCTGTACTCGAAGACTTTTGCTGATTTTAAGTGTCAACCAAGTGCTAATACGGCAAGGACTTTGAATAATGTATCCTGTATCGAATAAGGTGGACGTGTTAATCACCAATAATATTGCTCCGCTTGTTTGGAATTGCCAAGTAGATATTGGGCCAACTATTTAATTGTCGAGTTGTTCAGTTTGCGTTTAGTCCAAGGTAGACTTGCCCCATTGCTTTCGAATGACAGGTGTTAGTCGGAAGGACTGTAGATTCCCATTGCCCTATGTTGCAGGGAAGATTCGACTTTGGTAAAATGACAGCGCGCAAAAATATGCAAGCTGCCGACTGCCAAGTGTGTAATGTATTGCCCCAAAACGGGTGCTTGCGTCAAGCTGTGTGAAAAGGAGCGGGAGCTTATAACTCAAGTAGACGTCGTTGTGATGTTTGTACCAAGTTAGCCGAGTATGTATGCATATCAAAGGTGCCGAGATGATGATCGGCTGATGTGCCCCAATTGGAAAGCAAAAAATTGACTAATGTCCCAGTGGGCAATTGTTTTGCCAAATAATGTTGTTAGGTGAATAAAGTTGCCGAATACTTTGGCCAATGTTGCTGCATAAAGTTTGACAAATAATGTTGCTTAGCCGAATAAGCTTGTTTCACCGAAAGGTTGGTCAGCTACACTTGGGTCGGTGATTGTGCTGATCTTTTGGTCAGTGATTTTTCTTAGCTTCGCGGTGCGTCGGCATCCCTTCGGAGTTGGATTTGCTAAGAACTTGGTTGGCAATGGTTGCCAATTTATTGAAGTTGAGTTTCTTCTTCAACGTATATTTGCCCTCATTGCTTTTGAATAAGATTGGTTATTCGGAAGAAATAAAATTGACTGGGGCCAAAATTGCCGAATAGGCCGATAAAAATTTGAAACGGACTCCGTGCCCTTGTTCGGTGCCGCAGTGATATCGGAATGAAGCCAAGACAAAGTGGGGTGTCTGGTGATATGATCAGGGAAAACGGAAGATTATATCCTCGCCCCAAGATACTGTTGCTGAAATTGCATGCCGATCAATTAAACTACCAAGTGGCCGAATCGAAAACGCCAAGTGAGAGTTGTTTATTGAGTTCGACGATAAGTGTGAAGCCAATTAAATTGTACCATTGTCATGGAATTAGTTGGAAAATTACTTCCATTGTCGTGAATATGTAACATTGGATCGCCGTTGGCACATTGCTTGCAAATGACGTTAGGTATTCGGAAGAAATTTAGATTGGACGTTGGCCAATATTGACGAGAATTAAGCCGAGAACAAAGTATAGTTGCCCTACTGCGCTCAATTGTGTGGTTATTCGAAAGGAATCCAAAATAGACTTGAGCCAAAATTGCCGAATGATGCAGGTTGTTATAGTGGCGGGAAGACGCCAAAATTGTTGAATGCGGCATTGATCAAATGCTAGGTTTCGCGGCAAAAGTATTATTTGAGTTGCGATATGTGGCACTGCATATAAAATCAACAAATTTTGGGTATGGAATTTGCAAAATCAGACCGTACTGATGTGCTCAGAATGCTTCAAATAGTTGGAAACAACTATGGGATCGCTGTAATCGGACTCCTGATGGCATAGTTATAGCCAAAATGGATCTAACGGCTCAGATCAACAGGGTGTAATGCAACCGCGAAGCACAGGATTGTTTCTTCATATCTTGCTGGGTTGTCTGCTCCAACGAAAGAATTCATTTTCTGGGCAAACTTTGATAAGCTCGTATGGCTTTGTTTTAGCTTCGATTTTGACACGGTTTATTGCGTTGGACTCGTCTTAATCAGTACTTCAGTACTTCACAATGGTATGATCAAAACTTGAGTTTGATAGCTTTTGAAATTTCAATTTACGGAACGTGTGAGCCGTTTCACAACTTTTGGCGGACTTGGGTTGCTTCTTGGCTTCTCAAGTTGGTGCGTTTGGACTCTTTGAGCCGATTCGAATCTTGTGGTATGTTCAGATGTGGATTTCGGCAAGCCGAGATGCTAATTCCATGCCGAGATATTAGTGCCGAATAAGTGACAACTTTGCCGAAGAAGTGTAAACTGTAGGCAAGGAATGTGCCGAATAAGAAATGTTGTGGTGTAATTTTTGCCGAATAATTTGCCGAAGTCGAATTGATCATATGCATGCAGCATTCATAATGCCAATAAGTTTTGGTGCCGAATAAGTTGACAATAATTAGTCGGAAAAGGTTGCCGTATAAAGTGTGATGTACTGCCGAATAAGATTGATGAATTGATAATGGCCCAGGTGGTGCAAAGTCGAATTCTTCATGCAACAAGACTTGAAAATGTAGATTTTGTAGATTCAAACTCCTGACTTTGGGCCCTTGTATCTCCTTCATTTGACGTCCGATTGGCCTCATTTTTGCGGCATTGGATTCATCACTCGAGCTAGTGTGCATTCCACTTTTCAGACGCATCGGTCCACCCTGGGTTGGATGCTGTTGGACCTCCGAAAGTTGACCAAAAATAAGATTGATCAAGCCCCCCCTCCCCCTGTTTTTGTGTTCGTTTGTGTTCGGCTTGGCGATTGGGGTATGGTTGCGCAATGGTTGGAAGACGAATCTTGGCACTTTGATTTGCCGAATCACCTGGTCAGCGACAACTCCACCCTTGACTAGCTAGAAATTAAAGATTGTCGATAACAGTGCTAGAAAGAGAGCTGTGGTCGACTATTGATGTAAAGTATTGACTCAGTATATAATTCATGATGTCATGTGAATGAAGTAACCCATGATGCATTGAAGAAACAAGCGGATAACTTGGACGCTGATTTCAAATGCGAGTAACTTGTGCACGATATTTGTAACTTGTGCACGATATTTGGCTCGTAATGGCATTGTTCTTCTTGTCCTTGTGCTCATAGATCACGTTGGTTGGGGAGTTGGTAGATACTTGGCAAAGTTTTGAGCTTGATTGTTGCTTAGTCGGCTATGCAACTTGGTGATACCTGGCGAAGTCGATTTGGTGTTAACGAATGTATTGCTAGAACTAATGTAATGAAGTTTCATTGTTGAGTCGTTGTTTCTAGAGGAAGAAATGTCCGCTAAAATATGCTTGATAAAAAGAGAACCAGAAGAGATTTGGTTCTTGGCACCACGGCCATAGCCGACATGATTGAAGATATGGTGAAGTCGCCAAGAGGTGTTGTGGAGTCATCATTGGGATTTATCAATATCATTCGACGCTGCGACGTCGCCAAGTAGGCGTAGTTTTAATAACCGGATCTTGAGTTTGTAAACTTATGATCATTACATAAAGATTTTGTAGATGATTCAGCAAGCTTGTTATGGGTGCCAATCAATTTCTTCCCAGAATGTAGGGGCTTTTCGATATACCGAAACTATTGGTTGGCAACTTCTCTCAGCTTCACGATGTGCCGAATCACTTGGTCGGCAAGACTTCTTTATGTATATCTTCGGTTTTGTCGAGATTTTGGTTGGCATCGACGTAAGCCATTCATGACAATTAAAGTTGCCTCTAGATCTAACTGTTTGAATTTATATACATATATATATATATATATATATGGCTAGCCAAAAATCACAATTAATTAAATAAGAATAATAATTTGTTCGTTCTCATAACTCATGGTCCATTCTAGAGAGACGAAAATTGAAGACCCAGCCTTGGATTCCACAGAAAGCTTTAGCATAGGTACACGTGTGTACATGTTAAGGATCAACGTTAAGCTAAGTTTTGAGAGACAAAGAATAAATAAATAAATGGGCAGACCCATGTATGAATTTAGTCGAATAACTTTATTGAATTGCCGAAAAGATGTTGGCACCCAGAAAGGTGTAAAACCCATTTTTAGAGAGAGAAAACAGTTACTAACTTTATCTTGTTTTGACAACCTTTCTAAGCAATATGAATATTCAACAATGTTTTGATCAAATCTGTGATCATAAATAGATACATACATAGATGTGTATATATATAAATATATATATACCTGAACTTTAGCAAAAAACACAATCAGAATGAAAGAAGCCAAAAACCCAGTTGTGGGCCGTATTACTTGGGATTGATTTTGCTTTTGTAGAAAGTGCACTGACCTCAAAGAAACCAATATATGTTTACTTACAGCAGTATATTTGTTGTGTTCTTCGTCGATCTCATTCAATCGTTCCCACAGACGGCGCCAATTGTGAGACCATGAAATATCCTCTCACATGGATGTTGTAGAGATCCAACGAAGAGAAGAGCTTCACCCCTGCAGATCTGCAATGAGGAACATAGTTGGTGCCACCCAACCTGGGTTGCCGGCCGGGAGTACTCCGATGATGAAATTAGTTCTTGAATCAAGAAATAGTATCTATATTTATAAGAAGGGGTGTGTGTTTTGTGGAGGGAGATCAGACATACCTTCCACTTGGGATGTGATATTTATTTGGGCTGGACCCATTGTAGGCTTTGTTTGGGTTAGGCCCAATAAGCTAGTACCTATATTTTTCTGGCTCCCACAAATATACTTATAATATATCTTCATATATTTATTGATTGTAGGAATACTTGAAAAAATAAAGCTACTTCAGCTTTGGGAGAATTATCAAGAGGAAGCAAATATGGTTGCAGATAAGAAAGTTAAAAATCAGGTATTGGCTTCACTTATGTTCAAAAAATAATGTTTGTAAAATTTTTGCTATTTAATCTAACAAAATTCACATATATTTTGAGTTTGACTATACCTTTTAAATTAATGTAGGTCAAACAGTTCTCCATATACAGTCTTTGATGGAAGGTCTCTATTAAAGTTGATAAAAAACAATTGGGAAAATTAATTGTGCGAGAGCTTTTGAGGCAACAACAACATCGGTATGATAATGTGTTTGTGGCATTTTATATGAATAATTTCAATATGTTACATTTGCTAATAGTTATTGTAATCTTTTTATAGAAATCCTATCATATCTGATAGAGCAAGTATATGCAGCAAAGACAATATGAACATATATGTGGTAAAAGATCAAGTCTTATGAACTTTACTACTACGCTCCATATATTCATATTTGTGAATTTACAAATTAATTTTAGATTTTATAAATTTTTCAAACAATCAACTTACACGGAAGTGAGATATTTTTCCTCAATTTTATAGGCAACGAATGAAACAAAAATTAAAAGCTTACAAATATATGTGCAACATTGTTACAAGGTAATCTACTTATAGGTTTGTATGTATAACTAAAGTTACGTACTTCATTTTCGGTCAATTCCATCTTAGTTTTTGTAGTTTAATGTTGTCATAGATCTATGGCAAAAATTGCATCAAAACAATTTGAAGAGATCATTGAACGTGACATTTGATATGAACGATGTCAATCTATGTCGATATATAAGTTTTTAATTTTTAGATTTTGTTTACAAAAAATTAACACAATAATTACCTTTTGTGTCTTTATACATGTGTGAGTGAATTTCCGATCACATTGCCAACTTAGTATTCAGCTGGAGAGTACTGGCAGAATAGATGACACCTGGCTGACCTGTAACAGAAAGAGAAGATTCCGGCGGTGGTTCGTCCACCCGGGGGCACTCCGATGATCAAGTCAATATATCTCTCAAAGATAATCAATTGCTAAACTCATTGTTCTGAATATAAATTGCGTACCTTAGATCCATCTGTGGTGCCTTTCTTTTATAGCTAACTCAATCCTAGTCCCTATAGAAGCCTAGCTTCAATGGACTTTAGCTCAGTGCTTATCCTGGACTCTTCAATAGATAGAGATAAACTCTCTAAGAGTGTTATCCTTATCCATGCTGAAGTCCTTTCTCATTCTAGGACTCTTGTGCCTTATCCGCTCATCTTGGATTCCGATATCTTCGGAGATAATCTCGGCCTAGCTGAGATGATCTCGGCGTCATAACCAAGACACGTGGCACCTCGGCTGACACGTTGGCATCACCTTGGCCACGTGTTGGTACTCTAAAAATGTATCCCCACAACTGTCCCCTAGGTTCTATTACCTCGGTACCTCGACATTCTAAGGTGATGGAACCTATACTGGTACTTTCTACCAATACATCGGCTTAAAGTATCTTGCCGAGATCATCGTCAAGGCCGACATGTCTCTTTAAACAATAAGGACCCTAAGAGCTCTTTTACACATATGAGCTGTCATACACAATAACTCAACCGTTTTAGCCACGTATCTTTCCCTTATTGGATCGTGCTTGTGACGCGCCTGTAAGCCGTCTCACGCCTGCGTGCGCCGTCTAACGAATCCGTCGTTCTAGGCTCATTAATTTTATTTTTCCGCCATTTCAAGTTTTAATAAATCTTTTTCCCCTCTTCTATCTTTTCATATTTCTCCATCGTTTCTGAGGCTTTCTTTCTCTCTGGTTTTGTCAAATCCTCCATTGTTCCAAGCTTCCAAAGCTCTGCAACTTGCTCCGTCCATCTCCTCCGGCGAGGTTCTTGCTAATCTTTTTCGCAGCTGCCGTTCGTCTGACCTCGGCAAACTCAACACCGGCTTCTTTTCTTTGGTGAGTTTACTGTTTCTCCTAATTTCAGTTCTTGATGCTCTCCATTACTCATTGCCATTACGGCTTTGTTCAAACATTCGATTTGCGAATCATATATCTGAACGTGTTTATTTCACGACTTTGCTCTTGCCCATGTCTTGAGTATACGTACTGCTCACAATTTTTTTGCACTTTTGCCACTGTTCTTGGCTTCGTGCCCCTGTGCATACTCTTTCACAGTGTTCTTGATAGTTTCATTACTGTTCTTGATTCTGAAACACGTTCCTATTTTCTGTTTTCCGTGTTTTTGCCAGATCCTTGCCTCCAATCTTTGTTTCCATAGATCTAGATTTGGAATTTGTTTGTAGAACCCACAAATTCTTAGGAAAAACTGAAACGTATTCAGTCGTCAATTTTAGCCGAGGTCATTCAAAATCATCACAAAACATTCCCTTCCGAAGTCTCACACCTTTCATTTAAACCGATATTATGGATATGTGGAGGCATAGGGTAGACACCCCGACCAAGCTAGAATACTTTAGGCGAGAGTTTTCCATCCCTGCCGACGTGAATCTGAGGTTGGCTGGGGAGGATGACTCTATCATGCCCACAGCTGATTCTAGGCCCCTCACAGTTGTAGCTTTCATCGAGTGCAGACTTCGGCTCCCACTTGATATCCTTTTTTATGAGATAATCCATTATTATAAGTTGAACCCAATGCAGCTTGCCATCAATTCCTACCGAGTCATAAATGGTATAATTGCTTTAGCCAAACAAGAAAATGTTAGGGTTACCTTAGCCGACATCTAATATTGCTATACCATGTGTGGCCTCAAAAAAGATACAGGCTATGTTTACTACCTAAACCGAGGTCTACAGAGTACAAAATTATTGCCGACCTCCCAGACTCCAACAAGGGAGCTGGGGATGGTTACTTCATCACCTCAGGAAACTGGGAGTTCACTCCAGACAAGGACCTCCACTTCTACCCTCTTCCTCGAACAGTTTTTGTAGAGGGTAATAGTAAGAGCCCTGTGCTCATACTTACTTTTTTTTAAAGTCTTCAATACTTTGTTTATTCTAATGTCTGTTTTTTCTTGCAGCTCTTCCAAAACTAGAAAAAGGCTTCCGAAAGTCTTTTTTCCCCAGCAAAGGTTTGAAGAAGCTACTAGACCTTCCAGTCCACAAGCGCAAAGCTCCCCTGCTACTCAACTTTATCCCGACCTATAAGTCGGTTCTTCCCGACATTCCAAAGAAGAAGAAGAAGAGTCTGTCTCCTCCTTCCGCCACAACTCCTCAAGCTGCCTCCTCATCTTGGCCAGATCAAGGATCGACCTCTGATCCAGCTGAGTAGCCGTCTACCTCGGCTCCATATCTGATCCCGATATCCCAACACCGTCGACGATGTCGAACAGTTTTTGCTGCTGAAATGGGCCGCCAAAAAGAAGTCGCTAAGGATCTTTTGGCCAATATTCCTGATTCAGTTGATGCCCAATCTGCGCTAACCCACCCAAAGCCAAAGACAAAAAGGATCAAGAAGGCTCAGCCAAAGGCAACGGTGACTCAGATTGACACTGAGGACACCTTGCCAATCTCCAAATTGGCTGAGAGCGATAAGTCTCATTCTGCCATTGAGAAGAGGCCTGCCGAGGCCCAACCATCCGAGTCTACCCGATTAAAGAGGCCGAGGTCATCCGCTACAACTACCTCAAGGTCTCAAAAGCACGATTCCCCCTAGGCCCCCCAAATCACACTAGGGAATAAACCAGTTAGGGCTAACGATAGCGCTGATGACATTAATGTCGACATTGCCCTTAGTACCGCTCTGCTTCTTCTTGGCGATCTCGACCGAAACGCCGAGTTGAGTGAATATGAAACTATGCTCTGATGCTCCAACGCTCTGTTCAAGTAAGTGTCTTTATTTGGCAATTTTTCTTTCTTTTTCTTTTTTATACTTTAAAAATTTTTGTAAGAACTTCTGCTTTGTTTTATTTGTTCTTAGGCAATCGAGCATGCCCATTCCTTCTCAGTACAATCTTTTGAGAACCGGAAGGAGCTGGCCGACAAGAAGAGGGAGGTCTCCAGTCTGCAAAAGACTAATAAAAACTTGCAATCAAAGATGAAGACCTTGGAGGATCTAGCCGAGGTTGCTATCAAAGCTCAAAATGATGCCGAAGAAAAGGCAGAATCCGTCGAGGCCATCAGCAAGGTTCTCGAGACCTAGAAAAGAGAGGCCGAGGAAAAGATGTCCCAGGCCCAGAAAGAACTTCAGGGTGCCCTGGCCACAAAAGAAGCTGAAGTCAAGGCCGCCAACGAGAAAGGATATAATGAGGGGGTGGCTGATGTCACGGTAGATTATGAAAAACAAGTAAAGCAGACATGCAACAAGGGTTTCACCATTGGTTGGATGACTTTACTAAAAAAGGTCGAAATCCCTGATGACTCCCCTTTCAAGAACACCGACGTCCTTCCTCCACCATTCCCCCCAACTCCAAGCCAATCCGACGACGATTCTGAGTCGGAGGAGGAGGTTTTGGTTAGGAAATCAAAAAAAGCTGCTGGGGCCAAGTCCCCTACTCAAAATGAGCAAGTCCTAGACTTGACTCAAGATGAGGAGGGTGAGGAGGTTCCCAAGGATGCCACTCCTAAGAAGGCATCATCAGATGTGCCTTTTGTCGACAAGAGCCTCGATCATACCCTTCAAGAAATAGATGCCGAGCTTGCGGCTGAGAAGGCTGCCAAGATGTCTTCTCGGCAGTCTTCTGAACTTCAAACCCAACCATCTGCTGTTGCTGGGGAGTCTTAATTTTGATGTCTTTTTTCTTCATTCTTCATTTTGTGCCTTGCACTTTGTTTTTTCTTTTTTTTTAAAACAATTTAAGCTCTCCATGTGGCCGATGTGCCTCCTTTTGATTGTTAATACAACTTCCTTTTATGCATGCTTGTATTCTTCTCTTTACTGTTCTTTGTATGATTCCATACTTAGAATATTTTGAATTTCTTCAATATGTACTCTATTTGTGTAATTTTTTGGGGGTCAAATACCTCGGCTATACCCACCAACAGTTTACATCGGCAAGTATATAAATACTCAGTTTTGGCCTTTAACTTGTAAATTTTTCATAAATTTCAACAAGTGTTGGGCATAACCTTAGTTTAACTTCAACTTGTAAACTTTTCTCAAGTTTCAACAAGTGTTAAAACCATTTTTCTTCTCTCTGCCTTCTAATGTGAACCTAAGTTCCACTTGGGTTCTCATTATATATGTATTCCAGAAACAACGTTATGTATTTTTATCAGTCACAAGTGTATAAACAAATAAATCAGGCTAAAACTTTATTTATTTACTTCGGCAAACACCTCAATATTTGCTCTCAGAAACGCCTCCAACTCTTTTTCCTCTTCTTCGGCTAAGCCCGAGCCGAGAAAAAAGAAGCGTTCTTCATCCCCCTCCTGGACGAGGATTTTCTTTAGTGCTTCTTCACTCTTCTCGGCTGGCTCTTTGTCAACATCCTCTAGGACTTCCACGTCCTCGTCTTTGATCTCTGCCTTCTTTGGTTCTCGTATGCTGCAGGTGGATTTCATTGCTGCCATGGAGCAGTTCTTTGCCTGTAGCTGATCTCCTCTAACCTCCTCTATCCCATGCTCTGTTGAGAACCGTAATAGTTGATGCAGTGTTGAAGGAACAGCCCCCATTGCGTGTAACCATGGCCTTCCCAAGATAATGTTGTAAGGGGAGGGTGTGTCGATTACGGTGAACTCTGTTGTTATCTTCTTCGTGCCAGCCTACACATCTAAGCTTACTGCTCCCAATGGCCATGTCGGCGTTCCATTGAACCCGATCATTGGGCCATTAGATTGTTCCATGTCGTCTGGGTGAAGGCCCAGCTCCTTGTAACATCTGACATACATGATGCCGCAAGAGCTGCCTTGGTCAATCAGGATACGCTTCACTTGGCACTCCCCAACCTGGAGAGATACTACCAAGGCGTCGTTATGCGAATGTTGTACTATCTCAAGGTCGGCTTCAGTAAAAGACACTACTGGTCTTTGGCACTCCTCTGCCCGATGTCTCTTCTCCCCGATTCGGTAGATATACCGTAGGTGCTTTACCTTTTGGGTCTCTCCCTGAATTTCATTTTCGTTGACCTTCGAGTGAATTACATTAATTACCCGAGGTCCTCCAGCCTGAGGTTGTTGTGCTGGGAGAGGCGGAGCTGCTGGTGCCTGAGGTAGTCTTGCCTGTTCTTCCCTTGTCATGGCCTCATCGACAAAGTCTCTCAGATGGCCTTGCCTCACCAGGTCTTCTAAGTGTGTTTTCAGGGCTCTACAACGCTGAGTCATGTGCCCATCTTCATTGTGGTAAGCACAATGTCTGCCAAGGTTTCTTCCCATAAACTCTCCTAGTGCCCTCGCTGGTGCTCTGAAATAGGGTTGGCTCTGAGTTTTGTCCAGGACTTTGTGAATCAGGATTCGGAACACAGTTGTAACTGCCTGTGTAGTCCTTGGTCCTATCTCTTGCTTGCTGGATCTATTGTTACCTTGGCCTCACTTCGGCGAGCCGTTTCCTTTTTCTTGCTTTGTCTCCTTTGTCTCCGACGTATCTTCCTTAGCTCTAGCATACTTCTCAATTCTAGCCATGAGCTCTTCCATGCTTTTTGGCAATGTCTTTGCCAATGACTTCCGTAGAGCACAATCATCTTTCAGGCCGTTCTTAAAAGACACGACCTCCACCTCTTGGTTGCATTCGGGTATTCTGTTGAGCACCTCATAGTATCTTTTTGCATAGGCCCTAAGGCCTTCATCCTTATTGATTCTCAGAACCATCAATGCGTCCACCCTTAATGGCTGTAATTTATTTGTCACGAACCTGGCCACAAACATCTCGGCCAGGCTTTCCCAGGTCTTCACACTTCCCTTTGGTAGTTTTTGGAACCAATCTGATGCAATCTCCCCGAAGGATGAGGGGAACACTTTACAGAGCAACGGTTCGTTTCCATTATACAATGCCATTGAGTTCAAGTATAATCCAACGTGGAAGTTGGGGTTTGACTTACCATCGTGTATTTGGAACCTCGGCATACTGAATCTCTTCGGTGCCTCAAATTTGTCCAACTCCACTGAGAATGGTGTTCTCGGCTTAACAGGTGAAGTTACCTCGGCATCGGCATTATGTTGTTTCCTCTTGAGGTAATCTCTCAAGTCTTCCTTGCTCCGCCCAGGAGCTCGACTATCTCCCGACTTCATCCTTTTCGGCATACTACTCTCAGCTTCATTGTGGGCCCTTTTCGACCTTTCTCCATGGATTGTGTCGAAGCACAGCTCCTGCCTTTGAACGTGCCGAAGTTCTCTGGGGTCTGCTTCTTTAGTGCGATGTGTCCTTCGTGACTCTTCTCTCCTCGACTCTCCTCGCCCGACCTCCCTGGAAGGCCGATGAGAGTGTTTTTCGCTTCTAGTGTGCTGAGGGGCTATTGGGATTGGTTTCTGCCCTCCCTTCTGGGCATTGGCTGCTGAAATTGGCGTGTCCTGCAGCGAAAATGGTGGCTGCATGACGTTATTTTGCATCATAAAATTGACGACCGATTGCAGGTCTGCCAACTTGTTTGCCATCTCTTTCACCTCTTCGTCTCTCCGCAGGTATCTATCCTTCCATACCTGGAGGTCATTCTCGTTGTAGTATCCGCTTCGATCTGGTTTCTTTGGCACGTCGACATCCTAGCCTACGTCTTTCTTGCCGTGATTCTGGTTCTGAGTCTCCTCATTGCGACCATCTTCCTCCACGTTTGGGTCAACGTGTTTACCACTCCCAGCAGGGATTTCGTCCCCAACCTTATCCTTCTGTCCGTCACTGGCCATCTATTGTTTTTTTCTTTCCCACAGACGGCGCCAAATTGTGTGAGTGAATTTTCGATCACACTACCAACTTAGTATTCAGCTGGAGAGTACTGGCAGAATAGATGACACCTGGCTGACCTACAACAGAAAGAGAAGATTCCGGTGGTGGTTCGTCTACCCGGGGGCACTCCGACGATCAAGTCAGTATATCTCTCAAAGATAATCAATTGCTAAACTCACTGTTCTGAATATAAATTGCGTACCTTAGACCCATCAGGGGTGCCTTTCTTTTATAACTAACTCAATCCTAGTCCCTATAGAAGCCTAGCTTCAATGGACTTTAGCTCAGTGCTTATCCTAGACTCTTCAATAGATAGAGATAAACTCCTTAAGAGTGTTATCATTATCCATGCTGAAGTCCTTCCTCATTCTAGGACTCTTGTGCCTTATCCGCTCATCTCGGATTCTGATATCTTCGGAGATAACCTCGCCCTAGCCGAGATGATCTCGATGTCATGACCAGGACACGTGGCACCTCGGCTGACACGTCGGTATCACCTTGGCCACGTGTTGATACTCTGAAAATGTATCCCTACAATACATAATAAGCCAATTATAAAACCAAACTTATGTATAATTATGCCTCATAACGTAAAATATAATTTTAATCAATGTATACTATTAGCAATCTTATGATAAATATATCTTATATATTTTTCTTTTTCTTTTTTTGCAAGATTTGCAGGATCTCTGGTCTCATGTTATCAAATTTAGATTTTATATGAATTTTTATTGTACAACTTTTTTAGTTAAGATTAGTAAATATTTTAATTTTTAAAACACGTGTGCATATTGTAATGTGCATATGTTTTATTTATCAAATACGTTAATATCAAATGTTACATTGTACATAATTATTCATATGGTTTATATGTATATTATTAGAAAAAATAATATCAAAATTATATTATAATTTTAAACAATTTTGCACACGCATCGGGTGTGCCCGGCCGCTAATACATATATATGATATGCAATGCACATCTAAGAATTTTCTGATTTTTGAAATTATAGGAGTTTTAATTGGATACTCAAATGGAGGTGTTTGTGGTCCTCAAATCAAAAACCTCCTAACGGTTCAAAATTATGAGAGCACAATGTACATATGGTAATTGGGACGGTTGCATGAGTCAACCGTCATGAATCAAAAAAAGAATGACACAACTGTCTAGACGGCACTTCACAAGCGTCATAAATGGCGTAAATGGAATCGACGTGATTTAATAGTATTTGTCTTAAAGTTTCGATGTTTTATACGTTTATTTTTTTAAGGTATTTATGACAAGATTATGGTAATATTATTGTTTGATTAATTTAAAAACAATTGAAATGGAAGTATATAAGAAATGTAACTTTTCTTCAATCCGTTTATTTGGGCTGGATTGCATAGTTTGCTTGAAATGAATTCATCTTAGTAATTAAATTATTTGTCGCGTTAGGCTCACTTAAAAGAGTGTTGATTCAAAAAATAAAATTAATTGAATATTATTAACCACATGAATGGATCACAAAATAATATAAAAGAAATAGACAAATATATAATTTTTCTAAAAAAAAATTGTCACTTTTTCTCCAAGATTTTGGCTTCGTTTGGGAAGTGTGTTGGCTTTTTGGCTTTTTGAATTTTTTGTGAGAGAAAGAATGTAACGATTATGGGTTGAATGTGATATTTTGTCTTATTAGGTTAAAAAATTTATTCCATGTGTTTGGTTTGAGTTTTCTGGATTAAATTTTTTAAAAATTAAATTTTTTTGTTTTCGTATTTTTTTATTTTTAGTGAATATTTTTAAAATTTTAAACATTTTTTTTTACTTTTTTAGATGTACCTTACTTAGATATATCTAAAAAGTAAAAAAAATGTGAAAAAATATTTTTAAAAATTAAGAAATACATAAAAATACAAAAAAAAAGTACTGAATTCTTATATATTTTTTTTTGTATTTTTGGTATTTAGTGAATTTTAAAAAAAAATTATATTTTTTTACTTTTTAGGTGTATTTATGTTAGGTGTGTCTAAAAAGTAAAAAATTTGCATAAAATATTAAAAAAATTCAGTGAAAACAAAAAAACACGAAAAGTAAGAAAGTAGAATTTTCTGAAAACTGTTTTTAAAAAAATGAAACCCAACATTGTGATTTTATTTTTTACGACAAAAATAACTAAAAAAGCCCCAAGTTAGGCTTCCCAAACGAAGCCTAATGTAATTAGTCTTGGTAACATTTGTATGTCAATTTATTTAAATTATTGGATTAAAAAAAATATATTAATGGTGTTTGGTTACAATTTTATACAACTTGTTTAGCTTTTTTTAACTTATTTATTAGTCTCAAAAGGTGAGATTTTATTTAACTATAATTTATAGTTTGTTTTACCATAGTTTTTTACCTTTTTTACCATAGTTAAAAAATTTCTCTCTTTTGTATTAATTATAACTTTTGAGGGCATATTGAATACACAACAAAAAGTTATGTCACAACCTATTTAATCCAACACATTTCAACTTTTTTTTTTTAAGATTATAATATGAAAGTTTAAATTTTTTAAACTGATAATTTTTTGTTCAATCACTACAAAAAAATTGACTTTTTGCGACGGTAAAATACCGTCGCTAATACTCCTAATGCCGTCGCTAATACTTTTTGCGATGGCAAGAGGGGGTCGCAACTGCAGGGGTTGCAAAAGAGTTTTTGCGACGGTAAGTGCCGTCGCTAATGTTTTGCGACGGCATTTTTTACCTTTTTGCGACGGCACCGTGCAGTCGCTAATAACGTTTGAAATTTCTTGACTTTTTTGCGACGACCCTATTTTACCGTCGCTAAAAATGTTATTTGAGACGGCAAAAAATACCATCGCTAATAGTCTTTTTCTTTAAAAAAAACACTTATTTTGCGACGGTGTGGTATCGTCGCAAAAAGTATAAAAAATATAAAATTTTCTATTTTTTGCGACAGTGTAATGCCGTCGCAAAAAATATTAAAAAATAATAAAATTTTTATTTTAAATAATAAAATTTCTATTTTTTGCGACAGTATAATATCGTCGCAAAAAGTAAAACCTATAAAAAAATTAATAAAAATATTAAAAATTTCTATTTTTTCCGACAGTGAAAAGAGCTGATTATTTACATTCCATTCACAAAAACATCATAACAGAAAATAAAAATAAAAATTGATCAAACCATCAAATTCAATATTTTACAAAGAATAATTAAACTGTACATGTTCATAAAAGCATATTTAAATTATAAAATTCACCCAAATCCTAAAAAAAAAAATAATAATAAAATAAAATCTAAAATTCACCAATCAGCACATTGAATATTTAAATGCTCCTACAAAAAATAAAAAAATAACGACGGCAATCTTTTCTGTGATATCACTATCTCCTGAACATCACAAAGAACAAACCAAAGTTAACACCAATAACGACGGCAATCTTTTCCCCTTGGTACAAAACCAGTAGCAATGTTAAACAATTATATCCACAAAAACACTATTTTAGAGTATACAATTGATTCTAAAAATAAATAACAATACATGAATTTAATTCTAAAGCTCCGTTGAACAACAAAGAGAATTATGTTTAGAAACAAATGGTCAAGAAATGGCACAATCTTTCTATAACGGAAATGAAGCAACTTGAAAAAGCATTTTGAGTCATTTTTCCACTTTCTGTCCATGACAGATTCACAATGAGATCTAAATAGACCTAAATCTTCAGTTTCTGATTATTTGGGATATGACCAAAAAAAAAAGAAAAAAGGGGGGAGTTTCTACTAGTCAGAGTCATTGCCATTTGCATGTGGTTGGGTTACCATCCAGCATCCAGGAACCATCCATCAAGTGGAACTATGTTCAGGTGGCTGCAGGGTTAGATCAGAGAGAGAGAGAGAGAGAGAATTGCTCACAAGAAAATTTCTTGCTTGTGGTTTTACAAAAGTAGACCATAAAAACTATAAATATGACAACTATCCAAGGGGACAATTGTGGAATTATGCATTCAATGAGGACTATTCTACTGGCCATCTCATTATCTGTCCAAAAAAATAAAGGGGAAAAACATAAAAAATCCTACATATACAAATTTCTCATCTAATTTTCTTACTATTAAATACAAAGATATGAGCCTACGATTACTTATTGTGTAATGATATTCAAATAACAAATTCTTGTGTACAAACATCACACTTTTCAGTTGCAACCATTGTGTAGGCTAGTTCTGCACAAAATAAACATTCACTAAACTGAATAAAAAACTAGAATAAACCATACACTATCTGGGATTATATATCAACCTCACCTAATTTTCGTCCATGGAATTATATATCTCCTGATTCATCAGCTCCCACATTGTAATGCCTGCAGAGGCTTTGGTAACAGTGGTCTGTGAACAAGAAACACTCAAGACACCTGCAGCATTGTAGGCTGAGATCTCGGATTGGGACTTAAGAATGCCATTGCCATTGTTGCTAAGAGAACCAAATTTTGAGCAATCAGTTGATTGACAGCAGACAGCAGGCAGGGATCTAATAGGTCCTTCAGCAGACTATTTTGAGCAGATGATGATGACACAGAACAGAGTAGTTCGCTTGGATACCTTCCCATTATTGTTTCTAGAACCACCACCCCAAAGCTATAAACATCCCACTGCTCAGTCACGGCCATGGTGTACGCAAGCTCTGCACCAATAAGAGGAGTTCAGCAATTTTGTTTTCTACCCTGCCTTCACTGGCATAAACTAGATTTTGTGATTACATTGCATAACATATTTAATAATACCATAGAAAGTACTATATCAGCTGCATTTTCTTACATAATTCTTTTCCCACTCTTGCAGCTAAGGAAATGCAGAGTGGGGCGAGAGTCTAGCGGGTACAAAGCCTCGTGAATAAACTCAAACTCTGAATACGCATAATAACCTGCAAATCACACGAGCTTGAATTTTTTCGCACCCATTGAGAACCTAACATGAGAGTTTCAAAATTATCCTATAATGAAGCTTCTATGTATCTTACTTACAAATAATCATATCTTGAAGCTTTTTGTATGCGTAGTACCTTACCAACCTATACATATTAGAAGAAAGAATCTGTAAGTGACAAATGTATGTTAGTCCACTCCAACATTTTTAAATGAAGCACGGTATGGCCCAACTTCTTTGACTCATTTTCCTCAAGCCCATTTTCTCTGCCTGTTGAGGGATAACTGTAGGAAAATTTATGTTTCTAGCAAACACACTCCCTTCGTCTCATGTTGTTTGTTTATCTTTCCATTTTTGGATGTTTCAAAAAGATTGTCCCTTTGAAAAACCAAAGCAGATAAGTTTTCAAAAACTACCCCTTATAAAATAATGCCTTTAAAAACTAAACGCAAGTTTTTTTTTAATTTTAAATAAAGCCTTTAAATTTGAATTACAATGCATTTATTGCACGTTCTATTAAAAATTGAAATCTCCAAATTGAGTTAATAAATAAATAAAAAGCAAGCAATGAGGTTCATAATCCCTAATCACTTCAAATCTTTGCAGCTTTAAGAAATGGAAACATTGTACTGAAATTTTATATTTAGATTCTTACATCTGTATAAATTAAAATCTACAAATTGAGTTAGTAAATGAGCCCAAAAACAAAAACAAAAAACTAGAAGAATAAAGTAGGACTAAACTACTAAACATATCTTTACAACAAAATTTTGGTAAACTATCTTACAGTTGGCTCGGCAAGCAGGATTATCGACTCCATCTGTGCTTCAGAGACAATAAATCAGATTAGAATTGGTATGCATAGAATGCTTTTAGAAACAAATTTGAGAGGGAAAAAAGGCATTAAAATGCTTACCACTCGAAATGAGTATATGTAATTGCATTAAATCCTCAGCCGATCACTAGATTCATAATCATCCCCTTTGTCAATATATCTCGTTCTTCACAGGGTCTCAAGCCAAAATGATTTCTTTATTCATCAAATGGCCCCTCCATCATCAAAAATGTAAAATTACAAACAAATCGAGTTTGCACCCACTGCTAATAAGTAAAAAAGTAACACAAAAAATAAATAAATAAACAAAAATTACAAGACTTACCTTGCAACCTTCGATCCCGAATTGAAATAATTGAATCCCATTTGACTTGACAAACTCGGCATTTGCCTCCGGGTACGGTTCTGGACAAAGGCATCTGCAAAACCAAAGCCCTATAATCATCAAATCTGTATATAATCAGCAAATTCAAATCATTCACTGACACATAATTTTCCAACACATCACTGCCATATAATCAATGAGGTTGAATTTTTTTTTTTTTTTTTTTTTTTACTTACATGATGGAACGGAGGCCTAGGGATTGGAGGAAGGGGAAGTTGGCGGTGTCAGGGAAACCGGACCTGAAAATGCCATTGTCGACCATCGCGAAGTTCAGAGGAGGAATATAAAACCCGTCGTCGTCGGTGGGGTCGAAGTCGTCGAGGCTCGGCGGCGAGAGCTTCGTGAGAGGGTTGAGTTGTGGTGGTTCTACGACGGCGACTTCGATGGTTTTGCACATATCGCCGCCGCCGCCTTGGAGGAGAGGAAGGCGAAACCCTAGATGGAGAGAGAGAGAGAGAGCGAGCAGGAGGAGAGGGACGGCTCTGTTGTGTTTGGGTTGTGTTTGTGTTTGTTCTCAAACAAAACCCTACACAAGCCCAAAAATGTTATAGTTAATGAATTTTTTATTAAAATAAAAAATTATTAAAATAATTTTTATAGTTGATAAATTTTTTTTTTCATTTGGTAAAGTTAAAAATTTATTTGTTTTATATTTATTTTAATGAATAAAAAATTATTATTATTTTTTTTTATTTGGTGAAAGTAGGAATAATATTTTCCATTAAAATAAAGTTAATTTTTTTGTGGTCAATGAAAAATATTTTTTTGTGACCCATTTTTTTTTTTTTGTTACTAAAAATCAAGAACTAATATTTGTGGCAGAAGATAGGAAGTGGTAGTAGTGGTGAAAGTGGTGGATAAGAGGTGATAATGGTGGTGGTAGTGATGGTGAAGAAGATAAGTAGTGAAGTTGTGGTAGTAGTAGAGGAGATAAAATAACAGTGGTAGATGAGAGGTAATGAGCGAGAGAGAGACAAAAAAAAGAGAGAAATAGAGCAAAAAAAGATGAGCGAGAGAGAGACACAGAAAAAGAGAGAGACAGAGAGAGAAGAGAAATGAGCAAGAGAGATAGAAAGATAAGAGAGAGAGAGAGAGAGAGAGAAAAGAAATGAGAGAGATAAAGAGAAGAGAGATGAGCGAGAGAGATAGAGAGAGAAAACAGATGCGAGAGATAGAGAGAAAAGAGATAGGCGAGAGACACAGAGAGAAAATGAGAGAGAGAAACAAACAGATAGAGAAAGAAGAGTGATGAGTGAAAGAGATAAAGAGAAGAGAGAGAGAGAGATAGAAGTAGGGATAATATTTTCCATTAAAATAAAGTTAATTTTTTGTGGTCAATGATTTTTTTGTGACTCATTTTTTTTTTATACTAAAAATCAAGAACTAATTTTTTGTAGTAGATGAGAGAAAGCGACAGTAGTGGTGAAGGTGGTGGATATGAGGTGCTGGTGGTGGTGGTGGTGATGGCGAAGGAGATTAGTGGTAAAGTTGTGGTAGTGGTAAAGGAGATAGAGTGGCGGTGGTAGATGAGAGGTAATAGTAGTAGTAGAGAGTGAGAGAGAGATAGAGAGACAAAGAGAGAAAGAGATAGAGAGTGAGAGACAGAAAAAGAGACAAAGAGAGAGGAGAGATGAATGAGAGAGACAGAGAGAGAGATCGAGAGAAGAGAGATGAGCGAGAGAGACATAGAGAGATGAGAGATGAACGAGAGAGACAGATAGAGAGATAGAGAGAAGAGAGATGAGCGAGAGAGACATAGAGAGATGAGAGAAGAACAAGAGAGACAGATAGAAAAAAAACAGACAGAGACAAAGTGATGAGCGAGAGAGAGACAAAGTGGTCGCTAAAAGTGCATTTTCTTATAGTGGATCGATAAATCGAAAGGGAGCTCAGTAAATAGAGAAGACGGGAGTGAGAGAGTGAGCAACGCAAGCAGAGAAAAAGATAGAGAGTAAGAGACAGAAAAAAAGATAGAGAGATAAGAGAGATGAATGAGAGAGATAGAGAGAAGAGAGATGAACGAAAGAGACAGAGAGAGAAAAGAGATGAGAGAAGAGATAGATAAATAAAGAATATAAGAAGGAGAGAGTGTGCAAGGCGAACATAATGAGGGAGAAATAGACAAATAGACAAGCATACAGAGAGAGAGATGAGTGATGAGTGAGAGTGAGAGAGAGACAACGAGAAAGAGATAGACAGAAAAAGAGACAGAGAGAGAAAGAGAGAGAGAGAGAGATAGAAGGAGAGATAGAAAATGAGAGAGAAACAAGAGATGTGCGAAAGATAGACAAAAAGAGAGAGAAATAAGGCGAAAAGAGATGAGCGAAAGAGAGACATAGAAAAAGAGAGAGACATAGAGAGAAGAGAGACAGATAGACAAACAGACAGAGAGAGAATAGTGATGAGTGAGAGAGAGAAAGAGAAGAGAGAAAGGAAGATGAAAAAATGGATAAAAAGATATAGACAGAGAGAGAGAGAGAAAGAGAAAGAGCGAAAAGAAATAAACAAAAGAGAGACAAGAGAGATGAGCGAGAGAGATAAAGAGAAGAGAGATGAGTGAGAGAGGCAGAGAGAGAAGACAGATGAGAGAGATAGAGAGAAGAGATATGAACGAGAGAGATAGAGAGAAGAGAGATGAACGAAAGAGACAGAGAGAGAAAAGAGATGAACGAGAGAGATAGAGAGAGTGAGAGACAGAAAAAGAGACAGAGAGAGAAAAGAGATGAACGAGAGAGATAGAGAGATAGAGACATGAACGAAAGAGACAGAGATAGAAAAGAGATGAGAGAAAAGATAGATGAATCGAGGAGAAGCTCAATAAATAGAGAATATGAGACGGAGAGAGTGAGCAAGACGAATATAATGAGGGAGAAATACACAAATAGACAAGCATACAGAGAGAGATGAGTGAGAGAGAGTGAGAGTGAGAGTGAGAGAGAGACAGAGAGAGAGAGATAAACAGAAAAAGAGACAGAGAGAGAGACAGAGAGAGAATGAGAGATAGAAAAAGAGAGAGAAACAAGAGATGAGCGAAAGATAGACAAAAAGAGAGAAATAGAGCGAAAAGAGATAAGCGAGAGAGGGACACAGAAAAAGAGAGATGGGCGAGAGAGATAGAGAGAGATATAAATAATAGAGAGAGAGAAAAAAAAATAAAATAAATGAGAGAGATAGAGAGAAGAAAGATGAGCGAGAGAGATAAAGAGAGAAGACATAAGAGATAGAGAGAAGAAAGATATGCGAGAGACACAGAGAGAAAATGAGAGAGATACACAGACAGACAGAGAAAGAAGAGTGATGAGTGAAAGAGATAAAGAGAACAGAGAGAGATAAATACAGAGAGACAGGAAGATGAAAAAATGAATGAAAAGAGATGTTATATTAAAAGAGTAAGACGACATCGTTTTTTTTATTTTTTTTGTGACAGAAAAATACCATTGAATTTATTCAAACTATTTTGTGACTGTATATATATGAAGCTGTCTCAAAACCACAATCACTATGTTAGGTTAGAGTTTTCCAAAAACTCTTTTGAGAAAATTATACTTTCTTGTTTTCCGTGTTATATTATTTTTACTGAATTTTTTTAATATTTAATTTTTTTAATTTTTAGACACACCTAACATAAATACACCTAAAAAGTAAAAAAATCTTTTAAAAATTCACTAAATACCAAAAATACAAAAGAAATACAATAATTCAATACATTTTTTTTAATATTTGTATGTATTTATTAATTTTTAAAAATATTTTTTCATAAATTTTTTTTTAGATACATTTAAGTAAAGTGCATCTAAAAAAAATATTTAAAAATTTAAAAATATTCACTTAAAAAAAAAAACCACAAAAGTGACTTTTTGCGACGGTAAAAAATACCTTCTCAAAAAACAGAGTATTTGCGACGGTAGAAAAATATCGTCTCAAAAAAGAAGAGTACTTGCGACGGCAGAAAATACCATCGCAAATACTCTCTTTTTTTGCGACGGTATTTTTCTACCGTCGCAAATACTCTGTTTTTTGAGACGGCATTTTTTACCGTCGCAAAAAGTCACTTTTTGCGACGGCAAGTGTACCGTCGCAAATAGTTCCGTCTTTTAAGCCCCATTTTCTTGTAGTGAACAAATTCTTTTAAGCTAATAATTTAAAATTTAATAATTATAAAACTAACTTATAAACAGTATCAAACAGAGCTTTGTACGATTAGATCAATTTTTTGAACTTTTTCATAAACAATCTTATAGACCAACTTTACAAAACTGAGTATTTTAGTACAAGGACGAAAGCCTACAACAAGAAAATTATACTGACTAATCCAAATAAATAAGGAAAATGACTCAGAGCTCGAAATTGAGAGGTTCGAAACGGCTCAAAATTTTTTTTCCTTTTCAAGCAAAGGAGCTCTGCACAAACAAAGGGAAGAGGAGAGGAGAAAGAGAGAGAGAAGAGAGGAAGAAGAGGAGAAGAGAAAGAGGAGGAGGCAGCACCACCGCCGCCGATCGTCGCAGCACCACCTCCTCGCTGATCGTCGCAATCGCAGTACCACCGCCTCGCCGATCACAGCTCGTCGCAGCACCACCGCCTCCGCCGCTCCTCCGCCACTGGTTGAGGCCTCCTCCTGTCCAGTTCTCCCTTCTCCCTTCCCTTCTTCTTCTTCTTCTTCTCCTCCCCTCTTCTTCTTCTCCCCTCTTCGTTTCTGATTGAACAAAAACACAGGAAAAAGAAAAAAAAAAGAAAAAAAAAAGACACCAAAATGACGTCGTTTTGGTGTCGAGCCAAATTCGAGCCAAAGAATTTCGAGCTACATAACACTGCCGAATAAATAAAGGAGAGAAAAATCTCATCACAAAATATCAAACCATAGTGGACCACAGACCCAAATTATATACGGTTTAGACTCAGTTTGGGCGTAGTAGTAACTGTTGCGAGTTTTATTAGGCCTATTTTAAGGTCTAATTTGATAATCTGAACCGTTCACATTTTAGAAGTTATCGAGTAGAATATAATTATAAAAAATCACGTCAATCGGATATCGTTATCTCTTTCATCAAATCACATTTGCATTGAATTTTATATTTCAAATTACATTTATCTTTGTTTTAAATACAAATTTGATTTGATGAAAATGTTAACGATATCCGATTGACGTGATTTTTGACAAGTATATTCTATTCGATACCTTCTAAAATGTGAACGGTTCATATTATTGAATTAGGCCCTGAAATGGGCCCAATAAGACGTGCAACAGTTGCTACTGCGCATATTGTGTAGCAACAACTCCAAACTCGTTCAGACTGAGAAATTATTTTATATTTCAGAAATTTCATGTTAATTGTATGTCTAACTAATAATAAAGGATTAAATGAATATATAACCCCAATAACAAGGGAATGTTAGGCAAATTATAGCATTTTATTAGTTTGATACATAAACACGTGGTCATTCCGACGTGTTAAGTAATATCTGACGGATAAACAATATTCAATTAACTTGATTTTTTACAGGTATATTCTACTTGATATATTCTAAAATATGAACGATTTGAATTATCAAAATAAGACCTGAAAATGACCCAATTAATTGTACAACAGTAACTGTTGTGCATCCCACAACAGCCACCCAATTCCATCCGGTACAGAAGAGTTTTCAAAATAAAGACTTTCGCAACGAAATAAAATGCTGTAAATGCATTTTCTACGTAACCTGCTTTAATAAATAAAATACCATGTTGACGTCACATGTTGTTTATCATTACAAAAAGTTTGCATTTGATACATCTATTTTCATCCCTACGTGGACAAATCTTGTCCACCGTGAATGGGGTCGGACTGCTTTCTTCTCTTTTTTTTTTTTTTTTTTTTTTTTTATTTATTTATTTATTTATTTTTATGTAAGGTATCCTATCGCGCACTGAACTAAATCTTAGGGTCTGAACAAATATTTCAAAATAGATTTATTTCTTATAGTATGTGATCTCAAAAAAAAAAAAAATATTTGAGACTTCTAAAGTTGGGAATCTCCATAACTCTTAAAATGATATAGGCCAATCATATATTTTTATTTTTATTTTTGTTTTTATTTTTTTTTTCTTTTCTTCTTCGACGAATCACAAATAAGTAGAGGTTATAAGAATTGTATTTTTTTACAGTATGTAACATTGGTAATATTTTATTGACGATGAGAATCAAACATGAGACCTTGCACTGCACTACATGTTATTCTAATTTTGACTCCATCAGTTGTCGGACATAATATAGTTATTCCAAGTCCAATTCTAAAAAGAATTTTAAATCTCAAACATGTCACGCAGCCTAATATATTTGAATTATTAATTTCTTATTTTTTACTTTTTATTTTGTCTTGAAAGGATATTAAATTATTTAAATATAAAACATTAACAAAATTTGATGGTAAAATAAATATGGTATTTCAACAAATATTTTAATTTAAGCTTTAGAAAAAACTATATATATTTGTCTTTTATAAACTTTCTACTTTATTTTATAACTAAAATACTATAAAATTATAATTAATACTACATCAATTTTAAATCATTTATTCGGCACAGAACATAATAACTTAAAAATTATGTATTTTTATGTCAATTTTTTAAAAAAAAATTCAAAAATTCAAAATATTTAATGAAATCTTTTAATTAGTGGGAAAAAATAAAAATTTTAATATGAAATTATATTATTTTTAAATTATCGTTTGCGGCATTGGATAAATAATTTAGAATGCTCTCTAAATGGACAGGCCGGGTTGAGTTAGGCTAAAACTCATTATTTCAAGTCCAGTTTGAATATTAAACCGATACTAAATCTTAAGTCAATCTAACCCAATCGTATGAGCTAAATATTTTTTTAGTATCCTAAAATAATCAAGTTGGGTGAGGTGGGTTGGGCAGGCCATCGGGCCATGCCAACCCTATTTATCCCTCACAAAATTAATTGAAATCAATAGGATAGTGTTACATTCAAAGGACAAAAAATACATAATGTTTATTTAAAATTATATGATAGTATTGGATTTTATCACTCTAAAAATAGAATGGTATATTTTAAGAAAGTCATTAACACATTGTTTTAGGTCTCGTTTGGAAAGAAAGTTGGGATTACTTTAGTCCATTAAAATATAAAATAAGCTAAGTCTTCGTTTGGTATTGGCTTTTTAGGACTTTTTTGTATTGGGACTTTTTTTAGCCCCATTTGGTTTTTTTTTTTATTTTTGTAAGAGAAAAAATATAATAATTATGATTTAGATGTGATATTTTATCTTATTGACTTATGTAGCCAATTTTGTCTTTTGTGTATTTTTCTAGCTTAAAATCTAAAACCAAACAAAACTTAAAAGAGAAAACAAAATGTCACATCAAAACTTTTTAAGCCAAGTTAAAATAGACCAAAAAAAAAAAAATCAGACTGAATTTTTTTTCCTCAAACAAAAGCTTCGTATGAAATTCTGAATAACTTTTTTCACTTGTAAATAAATTTTAAATCATTGACACGTGATATTGTTATAAAATTTTCTATATATTTTTTTCTTATAAATCATTTTTCTAGTTTCTATAAGCCTCCGTTTGGGAAGTGGATTGTCTTTTTAGTTTTTTTGGCTATTTTAGTCTGAGCTAAAAAGTTTGATTTGGGAAGTACTTTTTGGCTTTTTTACTTTTTTTTGTGAGAGAAGAATGTAATGATTATGGGTTGGATGTGATATTTTGTTTTTTGTGGCTAAAATAACTTATTTTATCTTTTATGACTAAAATAATCAAAAAAATCCCGTTTAACTTTTACCCAACGGAGTCTAAATTTGATAAATTATTTAGAATTAGTCCAGTTTGTCTTTACTTACAATACTGAACCAAATCGTACTATTGAGTCTATAGCCACAGAAAAAAGCATGAGACTCCTAATTTGCAGATCCTAGATTTCCAAATGTGTATGATTGATTCGTTTTTTTTTTCCTCTCTCGATGTGGGGGTTATGGGAGTGAAGTTTTTGCGAAAGTCTCAACCATTACTCATAACGAAATATTTTTTGATTATTTAAATTGTTAATATTGTAAAACTATCCAAACAAATATATACATAAAAAAAATTAAAAAAAAAAAATAAATTTATCATATGTTCATAATTACAAAATCAAATTACAGTAATTATTACCTGAACAATTTAATTTTCTCATGCTGGATGAGAAGAGTCTATTACAAAAGAATAATATTATATGTATCAATTAATATACACACTAGTATATTAACATATGATGGGCAATCATTTGTATGGTTTAGGATATTTGTAACTTGTATAATAAATGCGGTCAATAATAATATCATAACACTAATTAGTACATTAATGTGTATATTAATTGATGCATATAGCACTACTGATTACAAAATTTGTTTTGATAATTCAAATTATTAATCTGTTAAGACTTTTAAAATAAATATATACATAAAAATTAAATTAAATTGATTATATAATCATAATCATAAAATCAAATTACAGTAATTATTACTAGATCAATTTGGCCACTTTTGTTTGGTGCATTAGGTTAGATGAGATTATTAATGAAAGGATGGTTAGTGAATAAATTATTAATGTGAGGAGATTAAGTAAAAATGTGTTTATTTTGATGATAGTTAATAAAAGAATTATTACATTATGAATAAATTATTAATGTGAGGAGATTAAGTAAAAATGTGTTTATTTTGATGATAGTTAATAAAAGAATTATTACATTATTTTTATATAAAATAAATAAAAAATTATTTCTCTACTAACAAAATCTAAAACAAATATTAAAACAAACCAATTATTTGGTTAAAAAAATAAAATTAAAAATATAAAATAGATTTATTCCGCTCATTATTTTTCAAATGTCATTTAAAATTCAGCCAAATTGATTCGTTACTAGAAAGGTTATTAAAGTCCTCGTACTATCAATCCCTCCTTCCAAAAATTATCACCACACACACCGTCAATGAGTCCCACAACTATAACAATCCAACCCCCCTCCCACGCAAACAACATCACCTTTAATTTTTCTTGGTTAGGAGATGGCATTACTGCATTCCAAATAATGTTTTTCTTTTTTTAAAAAATAAAAATTCTAACAAACACCACACTCTCACTTCTCATCCGAGAGTCATAAATACATTTCTGCACAGCTGCAAAAAACGCATCGAAATGGATCAGATGAAGCCATGCCCAGCTAATTCATGTCCTCAGACCCCTCTCACTTTCCTAGAAAGAGCCGCCACCGTCTACGGCGACTCTCCCTCCGTCGTCTACAAAACCACCACCCACACTTGGTCCCAAACCCACCGCCGTTGCCTCCAACTCGCCTCCTCCATCGCCGCCCTCCATTCAGAGAGGCCACGTGGTGTCGGTGGTTGCCCCCAACACCCCCGCCATGTACGAGCTCCACTTCGCCGTCCCAATGTCCGGCGCTGTTCTGAACACCGTCAACACCCGCCTTGACTCCCATACTATCTCCGTCCTCCTCCGTCATGCCCAGTCCAAGCTCGTCTTCGTCGATTACCATTTTCGAGCTCTAGTCCTTGAAGCTCTCTCTATTTACCCACCAAATATACAACATCCTAAACTCGTCCTTATCATGGATGATGTGGTTTCAGATTCAATCCCCTCATTATCCACCGTTAGTGATTACGAGGGCTTGGTGAAGACCGGTGATCCTGAGTTCAAGTGGATCCGCCCTTTAAATGAGTGGGACCCGATTACACTTAACTACACCTCGGGGACCACTTCCGCCCCAAAAGGCGTGGTTCATTCTCACCGTGCGATTTTTATCGTGACGCTTGATTCTCTGATCGACTGGTCGGTACCCAAGCATCCCATCTACTTGTGGACCCTACCCATGTTCCACTCAAACGGGTGGTGCTTCACCTGGGGCATGGCGGCGGTAGGCGGAGCCAACATTTGCCTCCGCAAAGTTGACTCCCCCGCCGTTTACTCCGCCATACAGCGAAACGGTGTCACCCATATGTGCGGAGCTCCGGTCATTCTCAACATGCTGTCCAACTTCCCCAGCGCGGTACCGCTGCGCAACCCGGTTCATTTCCTCACCGGCGGATCGCCACCGCCAGCCGCCGTGCTCCTCCGAACCGAATCACTGGGTTTTGTGGTCAGTCACGGGTATGGGTTGACGGAGCTGTCGGGGGTGGTGGTTTCGTGCGCGTGGAAGCCGGAGTGGAACTTGCTTCCGGCGGCGGAGAGAGCGAGATTAAAGGCGAGACAAGGGGTGAGGACGGTGGGGCTAACCGAGGTCGATATTCTCGACCCGGTTTCAGGATTGAGCGTGAAGCGAGACGGGTCGACACTCGGGGACATAGTGATGAGAGGAGGGAGTCTAATGCTGGGTTACCTGAAAAACCCAGAAGCAACAGCCAAATGTATGAGGGAGAATGGGTGGTTCTATACAGGAGATGTAGGGGTAATGCACCCAGATGGGTATTTGGAGATCAAAGACCGATCCAAAGACATCATCATCACCGGCGGCGAGAATGTGAGCAGCGTGGAGGTAGAGTCGGTGCTGTACTCTCACCCGTCGGTGAACGAGGCGGCGGTGGTGGCTCGGCCGGACGAGTTCTGGGGAGAGACGCCATGCGCATTTGTGAATCTGAAAGTGGGGATTGATCGGAAACCGACGGAGAAGGAGGTAATCGAATTTTGCAGAACTAAATTGCCGCATTATATGGTGCCGAGGACGGTGGTGTTCAGCGAAGAGCTTCCCAAGACTTCGACTGGGAAGATTCAGAAGACTGTTCTGAGAGACAATGCCAAGGCTATGGGTTCGTTGGTTGCAGCGAGTCGACTGTGAATCGCCATGAATTTGATCTGTTTTAATTCAAGTGTGGATATAAAGATTGGCCATGAACTATGATCAGAGTCACTCTCTGCTCAAGTTATTATGTCTTTTTTTTAAGATTTATTTTATATAAATTTGGAGATATTGTTGGTTTAATGCCTGCAATTTAGCTATTCAAATTTAAATTTTATTTATTTTTAATGGAAATAAGGATCAATTTTATTTATGAATTAAAGATTGTAAGAATGGAAGGAGTTGTTGTGTAATGGTGTTGTTAAACAAGATGAGAGAGAAAGTTCTCTGTGAAAATATATTATTCTCAAATCAACGTACATCCCTATATAGGAGAAAACATAACTATCTAAACATACATATCTATCTATATAGGGATCCTTTAGGAAGCAAAGAAAAAGTCACTTTTTAGGTTTTTATCCATTTTTTCTTACACCATTTCTTACAATTTTTTTATTTATCAAAAGATAAAATAGATTAAAAAAATTAAAAAGTTAACTTTTTATTAACTTTTCAAAACACCACATAAATAAACATTAACAGCCCTCCTTAAACTCAAAAAGGATAAACATCAACCAACTTGAGTTTGGAAACAAGTTCAATAAAGCGGCTAGGATGATGAGCTTTGGCGAAGATATCAGTAGGTTGATTAGCAGAAGAGATCGGATGGAGATGAACAATATCATGAATGACATGCTGACGAATAAAATGGCAATCAATCTCAATGTGCTTGGTGTGATTATGAAAAACATCATAGTGTGTAATCTGAATAGCACTCTGATTATCATAATAGAGGTTAGTAGCACCGGAGGGGGTAACATCCATGTCAGCAAAAAGCCAACGAATCCAGAGAAGCTCCTGAGTAGTATCGGCAAGAGCACAGTATTTGGCTTCTGTACTTGAACGAGCAGTAAGAGATTGTTTCTTGCTGAGCCAAGAAATAAGAGAATTGCCTAAGAAGAAACAGAAACCTATAGTAAAGCGGCGGTCAGTAGGATCCCCAGTCCAATCAGCATCAGAGAAGGCACGAAGTTGAAGAAAGGAGTTGTAGACGTCCTCGAACGTCTCGGGAGGGAACCCCCCGTTTTGTTCATTGGGCTCACTACAGTTCAGGACTCAAAGTCACGGTCCTGTATCTAATCTCACAGAGTGCAATGCAAGACCGATGAATCATCAAAGAGTCCAAATCCGTCAAATCATTTTTGAAAACAAATTTTTTTTTAAAGAAGTGCCAAACATGGACTGCTTTGCCAGATACAGAGTCGCCACCTAAATATTTTATTTTTGGGGAAATTTAGGAAACCCTGACTCGTTGTTTAAGGCCACGTGTCCGTCATCACCAAAGTTGCATCGGCTCGGGAACTTGGGTACGATTGGGGAAGGTCACTTCGTGAGCACCCCCGCTCGCCCGATCAAAGATCGGCCTCTACTAACCATGATATCTAATTTTGAAAACATTATGTGTTCTTATTCCGATTAATTAGCTAGAATTACTATGTGATGCGCACAACACAAAAGTATAGACTAGATCGCCTAATGTGGAACAAAGCATTGCATATCCGCCCATTTGAAAGACAATTTGAAATTTGCTACTTGCAAGTAGGCTAAAACACGGATTTCAACGAGTTGTTCCAACTCAAACAATCCAACCTTCACCCACAAGCATTCAGGCAGTTATATCAACTAAGCACATAGCCACATGGTAAGCATGCTGTCATGTTAATATTCACATTCATGCGAGATGCTAAAGCACAAGTACTTACATTGTACTCTGCGCCAAAACAGAGAACTCGTTAGCAATCATGCATGATCCAAGTCCATGTTAAGTGCCTAATGTATCGCATACAAAATGTAGTCTAGAATAGGCTCGGTTAATCCTAGGATGGCATGTGAAATGCAACAGATAACACATATTCAAGTTAGATTTGAAATACTATGCAGTTAGTATGATGCGCCGAGCCCGGTGCATGCAATACAGATGAATGATACAAACATGCAAGCATAATGTATGCTAATTGAAATATGCCCTAAATCTAACCATTATAAGCGGTTAAATAAAAGGGAGAAAGACGTGGGGTTGGAAGACATACATCACACGCACGCACACTTATTACAATTATGCCCTCGCTCGGAGGGTCCGAATGAATAATACAAGCTACCTAATTAACTAACTCACGAGCTAATTAATTATTATAGAACCGAATGAATAATTAGCTACAACTAATTATTACACAACTTAATTAATTAACAAATCAATTAACTAATTAATGAATGACAACAAGCAGGTAGGGAAAACAGTAAACGGTGTTATTCCAGCTCTGTTTGAAGAAGGGAGGCATGCATGTTCGCTTTGGTTCTTCACCTCGAAACGCCTTCCAGTTGCTCTTTAGAGCTTTAGAGGCTCTGTTTGTAGGGTGTCTTCCAGTGCTTGTTGCTGGATCCTACCAAAACACTGCAGGGGAAGTCACCAGTGGCCTGCCGGTCATGAAAGGATCACTGCCGGCCAAAGGTGGTCCATTGCCGGCCAAGGGTGGCACACTGCCGGCCATCAGTGACAGGCTGTCGGCCACTGGTGTGCTGTGACACCAAACTGCAATGAAGCACAAAATAAAGAAAATGGAGGGTTTCCCAAGGACATGTACGCACCATGGCACTCTAAATCACCTCAAAACATCAAGGGAGAGGCCTAGTCGGATCCACGACCATCAATCACGCATCCCGATGCATGATGGCCAAAGATCCAACTTGTACAGATCAATATGAAAATGAATGCACAAATAAAGCAAGTAAAGCCTAGAACTCTATCATGAATCATCAAGAGCTTCGGCAACCGAGAATTGAGACACGTTCCATTACTTGAAGTATGAAACGTCCCTCGTTTCTCGTGCTCGGATTAATACTTAATCCAAGCAATGCAATGCATGTATGCTTTATGTAGCTCAAATATGCAATATGAGGCTCAAATATGCAAGGCATGCCAAATGCTATGCAACTAAGCATGCGAGTGTGCAAACTAAGCTAATGTAACGCAAACACACTAAGTATGCAACAAGGATACACAATGCAACTAGCTAAATGACATGCAAACGTGCGAACGTGATATGATGCAAGCATGCGACCAATGTAATGCAACATGTCAAATATGCATTGGTGGGCTTAAACCATAAAGGGGCAGACCTCAGCCCATCCCAAAACAGTGGCCAAAGTGCAAGGAAGCAAGACCAAAACAAACTGATTAAACTTGTTCATGCAAGAGGCCAATGAAGCACATAAACTAGAGCTATATGATACAATGCTTGTAGGTCTCAAACACCTCAAAGCAGTCACCCTACATGCCATGTTGATGCTGAAAATGCCATGATCATACACCAAAACAAGCTCAAATGATATGCCTAAACAATGGACTCTTGAAGCACATGAACTACAACTATGTAATGCAATGCATGAGAGTTTTATCCAGCCCAAAATAGAGTTTCTACATGTTAATTTGGGGCCTAAAACATGCTGGAAAATAGTCAAAACAAACTAGAAAAGCATGCTCTCCTTTAGGCCATTCTAAGCATTTGAACCACAACCATGCAAAGCAATGCACAAGCCACCTTAACACCTCAAAATAGAGCTTAATCACAGCAAAATACGGACTATTGCTGGCCAAAGTTAAGCTAGCACATGTTAGGAAGATAGGCTAAAACATGAAACAAGTTATGGCTAGGGAGCAAAATTACACTACAAGTGTATTATGCAAGCATGGAGTGACAAAACCAACCCAAAACAGGTTCATGGTATGGTAAAACATCACCAAAAATGGACTGAAATGGACTCAACAAAAGCCAAGCACACATGCTACTTTGATGAGCTATGGATGGAGTTACACTACACATACTATATGCAAGCAAAATATGACCAAACCAGCCTTGGACAGGGCCAAGGCAAGTCCTAAAAGTCACAAAAATAGGCCTGAACCAAGCCTCAAAAATGCATGGAGGGATGGTCTTTTGGAAGGCCAAAAATGCAAGCAAAGAGGAACACAAAGAGAGGGGACTACCCCCTCTGATTTAGGACCTCAAAACCACACCTCAAACAGCATGCAAGGGGGCTACACACCCCAAACCAAGGCTAGCTCGGAGGCCTCAAGATATGGCTTAAAACAAAGCCAAACAAAGCATGCAAGGGGGCTACACACCCCAAACAGCAAAATGACCTTAACCAAACTTAAAAAGTACTTAAAAACAAGACTTTTTTCAGTTATAAACAAAGCCTAAATCAATATGTAAAGAGGACTAAAGCAAGGTACAAGAAAGTGCAAAAATAGGGGAAATGCTCACCCTTGAAGACCCTCTTCGAAACCAGCAATTTCAGGGGGTGGAAGCTTGCTTTCAGACCTCAAGAAAACCTCCCAAGAAGCTTGGTTCAATGGTGGTGGTGTATATCTAGGGGTTGTAGTGTAAAAGTGCAAGGAAATCCAATTTCTAAGCACAAAACTCCAACAATATAGAGAGAGAGAGAGAGAGAGAGAGAGAGAGAGATTTTTTCTTCCAAAGTTGCAGAACCCCTGGCTAAGGAAGAGGTTTCTTCCTTATATAGAGGAATGAAAAGCCAAAGCTTCTTCAAGAAGCTTTGCAAGGCCTTCATCCCTCCATACACGTATGGAGGGGAGCAAACAAAAAACCAGCTGGCTCAAAAGATCTAGAGGAAAACCAGCTGAGACAGGGGGGTTGCCGGCCATCATCAATGGCCGGCAGGGCCTCATCAATGGCCGGCAGTTCCATGCCATGGCCGGCAGTGCACCAAAAGGGTCACTCTGAAAGGACCAAGTCAGGGTTCAAAAATGAGGCAGAAAGGATACAGGGTCCGGGAAGCTCGAACCGGTGACGTTCCGCCGCGACAGTTGAGTACTCGGGGAGCAGTCGAACTAGTTGTTGGGTGTACCTGCAAGCACAACCAAGTCCCGAGGACGGTCAAAAATGGGGTGTCTACAGGAGCGAGCGGAATAATTAAGACCATAAAATAAGGTGCCTTTGAGATAGTGAAGGATACAAACTAAAGCATGATAAAGAGGTGTATGAGGAGCCGACATATACTGGCTGACAATATGGACAGCATAGGCAATGTTAGGATGAGTAACAGTGAGATAGACAACTCTGCCAACCAGTTGACGTTGCAGAGTAGCATTAGAGAGCAAAATGTCATCAAGAGGAGTAAGACGACTCTGAGTCTC